AAACCCCATTCTTCAAGGTTATGAAATTACCTACTTACATGTAAATCTGATTCTTAATTTTTTTTTCTTTGACTGTAGAATTTCACTAAAATTCCAAATTAACTCTTGACTCCACAGTCAAGATGAACAGCAATAATTAAAACTCCGTAAATCTATATTTTGAGTTGTAATTCTGCAATTTCTTTTCTCCAAGTATGATAAAAAATCCACAAATAAAAACATTTTGTCATTGTTCTGTTTCAGCAATATACAAAAATACATTTCTGTCATTTTTAGAAATGTTATTTATCTCCACTGATAAATCATTTTCTCCAAGTATAATAAAAATACTTATATACTGTTATATACAAAAATAAATTTGTATAAATGTTATTTATCTCCACTGATAAATCATGATTTATCACGATTAATTGTGAATAATCAACACCTACCCTTAAGTTAGTCAGCTGAAAAATTGAAATAATTTTACAGATCTCATTATACTTTAAAAATATTATATATATAAAGATTTAGTAGTAATAGTAGTAATAGTAAGTAGTAGAGTATGTTATGGTGTCTGGGGTTGTTAAATAAAACTTAATATGTCCTGCTTACTGCATACCCCAAGGTACAAAAAAAAAGTTTGGTAATTTTGTAAAATGAGGAAAATCTTCAAAAATAATTTTTCAGTGACCTACTTTTTTAATATAACCCACATTAAAATAATAGTAATAAGAAGAAGAAAAACAATGAAATCCAAACACGATACGACAATGTTTCAAACTTCCAGTGGAAAAAACATCCCATATTGGACTGGAAGCAAGTATTTCTGCTCTGACAGCCTGCTGCTGGCTCACAGCCACTGTTAATAGAACTAATAAAAATAGTCGAATAGTTACATTCCAGAAATAGCAATACTGGAGTGAGCAGAAAAAAGTCACCCCGGGTTGACTCCCCGCTCCTCTGGACGAGGCAGAGCGGCGGTGGATCAGCCTGCGGTGGAGGCCGAGCTGAGGAAACAGGTGTCGGCTGCTAAATGTGCTTTCAGTAAGCGCTGGAATGACAGCTATGTACTGGCCTCTGTGGTTACTGGCTCCGTACCCGGAGCGGAGCTGACACAGACAACCAACGGCTGCTGTTTGCTGCTGCTGCTGCTGCTGCTGCAGAAACAGTCCAGAGCCTTTATGAATGGACTGGCTCCCAGCTCTGATGGAATCACGACTTTAGATCGGTTACTGACTCCTTAAAGATCACCAAACTGATACCATAACATCGTTAGTGGAATAATCCCATCACGTTGTCGATGTATTCTGTTACTGGTTAATATGTTTTGAGGAGTTGATACCCAGTTTAGTGTCTGAAACTTTGTTGAATGTCATTCTGTTGTTGTCCAGAGCCTTTATGAATGGACTGGCTCCCAGCTCTGATGGAATCACGACTTTAGATCGGTTACTGACTCCTTAAAGATCACCAAACTGATACCATAACATCGTTAGTGGAATAATCCCATCACGTTGTCGATGTATTCTGTTACTGGTTAATATGTTTTGAGGAGTTGATACCCAGTTTAGTGTCTGAAACTTTGTTGAATGTCATTCTGTTGTTGTGCCCTGTGGCTGCTGTACGGGTGGGCGGGCAGACGGCCGTGCCTGGCCTGTGTTCTGGTCGGACGTTCGTCCTCTGTATTGTAAACAGGAATAAATGTTGATCTTGTCCTGTGGTGGGACTGTGACTGTGGATTCATTTTTTCTATTTAACAACCTGAGGATCTCATGCCTGCCGTGCTTAGGATGCTGAGGTGGTGCAAATATTCCCGCACTCATACCATGTGGGAGTGAACATAAAAACAAAGGTCTGAACGATCAAACAAACCATCAGTCCTGGTTACAGTAATAGGTAAACTTCCCTAAGCAGTAAAAGAGTTTCATTTGGTCTTTCCATGGATGGTTGGATGGATGGATGGATGGATGAATGGAAGGATGGAAGGATGGAAGGATGAATGGATGGATAAATGGATACCTTAATCAAATTTTATTTGCAGAATATACATCATTTGTGTATCATATTCATAATAGTAACATAAACTTGACTGATTCACTTGCATATATTTAATAACAATTACATTTAAATAAATACAATTGATAGTAAAAAAGTTTTGCTTTTTTTCCAGTCATAAAAGTTCTGCCTGTGAACCACTGCTTCTAAACTTGGCTGTGTTTCCTCTGCAGTTTCTAACTGACTGCTCTGACCCTCCTCCTCCCTCAACGCTGTCATTAACGCTGCGAGATACTTCAAATGAAATTAGATGGGAGTAAAAGTGTAATGATCTGATCCGGGCTAAGATTAGAAAGACTATTGTGCTTTAGTATGAGTGTGTGTGTGTGTGTGTGTGTGTGTGTGGACCTCATTTACACCATGTATCCATTAGGCTCAAGGCATTAGGTTGATAAAATTAGAAACAGAGAACGAGAGTGAGAGGAGGAGGAGGAGGAGGTGACGTTAGTTTTACTCCTGAAACTAAAGAGCCAGGATTTCCTCATTTCTCCTCCCTCCTTATATTAACAAAGACTCAGGTGTCGCGTAACACTGAGAGGACTTGACAAATTGAGCGGAGTCAGCAGCGGAGGTGTTCAGTGGAACTCCCAGCATGCTTCATTAGGCTGCCCTGTTGACACAAACACAGCAGTGAAAGCTGAGCCTTCTCCTAATACCCCCCCCTCCCTGCCCCCCGGCCCCCCAAACACCTGTAGTAGTGGCACGGGGAGGGCAGATTAGCCCTAATTACCCTGTGACCTGTGGGCACACAGCTGGATCACAGGAGGGAGAGAAAGTCCCAGAAAATTCAATTAAAAAAAGAAAAGAAATTTGACATTTTCAGTCTTGTTCTTTCTGTTTTCCTCCTTCTCCTTCTCCTTCTCCTTCTCTCCACGCAGCTGGTTTTATGTTGCTGATTGTTAGACTCATCATCTGCACAATTACTGTGGAATGTGTAACTGGGACGTGTTATGACTGACACTTTTTTCTGTTTTCTCGTTCTTTTCATCTTCTTTTTTTTTCTTCGGTGGTGGAATCTGAAACAATGTCAGCGTTTCAGCACCTGTCTGCTGCCACCAGCCTCAGTCTGTTTGGATATGTTTGAAAATTAGGACTGGAGGGATTTCCTTTCAAAAAAAAAAAAAAAAAAAAAAAAAGTTAATTTTTTTTTTAATTTTTTTATAAACACCTGGGGAAAAAGAAAAAAAAAAAAAAAAAAAAAAAAACAACAATTCGGGA